CTTCTCACTTCTACAAAGGGGGAGATGTGGTCATAACAGGCAAAATACAGTGGCTTGGAGCAGGGTTGGGAACCTGGGCTGTCAGAGCTAGGGTTAGGTCCAGACATCCTGGGCCCACTGCTTCTGCATGCCAGCTCTGGCCACTCCAGCCTCATGCCACCTCCCTAATAGAGGGGCACAGTGGCCGATGCCACCTGCCATAATTCAGGGACTGCTCCCACCATCCAGCCTCGTGCTCTGCCCCAGGGGTTCAGCAGGACCCTAATTCAGAGTTTGGAGCACTTACTCAGTACGTGCTCTCAGCAGCAGCTGGTGCCTGGCACGCTGCCCATGCAGCAGCCGGAGCAGGAACACGTGACCTGGGATGCCCTGTAGCTTCAGACTCAGGTCTCGAACCTGCAGCTCAGCCATATTGGCATGGACGAAAACAGCAAACTTCCCGAGCCTGGAAGACAGACAACAACAGGGCAGGGAGGGTTAACAGAGCCTGGGTCCTACCCTCAGAGCCACGTCAGGACCAGGTGAGCTGAAGGGAAGAGGAGGAAAGATCATTTGCTTCTTCAGGCCTGGCTTCACTGGGCGCCCTCTCCCAATAGCCAGTAAAGGCTCCCATAGCCAGTAAAGGGTATCCAAACAGAGCTCAGGGTGCTAAGACAGGAGGATTGCCGTGAGTGCAGCTGCCTGGGTTTCTGCTGGCAGAAGATAACAGAAGCCAGGCCCACAGTCTAGGAATACTCTCAACTTCTTTCTGCACCCTTCCTTGCCTCCAAATGGACTCCCACGGGACTTGAACCAAGCCAGCAGAAGCTGCTTCTCGGTCCTGAAGTCAGAACCAGGTGCTGCTGACCCTGTAGGGAAAGAGGCTGGGAGGCAGGGCAGGATCCTGGGCTTGTTACCCTAGCACAGAAACAGGGCCCAGCTCCCCTCCAGCAACATCGCGCTGTGCACGAGGCCCCACCACCATGTCCACCTCCCCCCATACACACACTAGAGGGAGCAGGTCCCTCCTCAGCCTTCCCGTTCCTGCATCTGCCCATCCTGAAGCGCCTGCCACCTCTTGGCCATCTGTGCTCACCTGGAAAAGAGTTTCTGGTCCCTCCCACCCCTCCACTCATTCTGCCAGAAGCAGAATGTCGCTCTGCTCCTCTGCACAGCCCACCCCCGCCCTCAGAACGAGCCCAGCCTCCACTGCGACTCCAATATCTCTGCTCCCTTTTCTTGCCCTTCTCTTTGATTTGTTCGTTTATTTATTCGGAGACAGGCCCTCACTATAGAGCCCTCATGGCCTGGAACTTGCTATGTACTGGCTGCCCTCCATCTCTGTCTCTGCCTCCTGAGTGCCAGGACTAAAGGCATGCGCCACCATCCTGGAATTCTGCACTTTCTCCTCTGGTCCAGTGCCCGGTTTCTCCACACTCCAGTCACATTCTGTTGTGCCACAGTTTTTCTGTCTTTTGCAAACCATGTCTCAGCACAAAACTCTTACTCTTCAAAGCCCATCTTAAGGGCTGGAGAGACGGCTCAGTGGTTAAGAGCACCCGATGCTCTTCCGAGGGGATGAGTTCAGAAGCCAACACCCACAAGGCAGCTCACAACTGTTCCTAGCTCCAGTTCCAGGGGCTCTGATACCCTCCTTTGGGGATTGAACGCACATGGTAGTGCACAGACATACATGTGGGCAAAACACCCATGCGCATAAAACAAATGCTAATTTAAAAAAATAATCCCAGCACCCACTCTTTCCTCCGGGACAGAAGTAGGCAGTCATTGAAGAGGTGAAGGTACACGGCTTTGCTGGACAGCTTCAGCTTGGCAGGTGGTGCAGCGGGCAGGGGGGCCAGCTCCACCAGCTCTCCGTGCCTCACCAGCCAGCGGGCCTGTGAGATCAGTGGAAAGATCTGGAGAAAGATAGACAATTAGGGAGGGCAGGTGAGGCAGGGGTGCTGGGTGAGTCCAGACCAGGCAGATCATGGGCAGTGACTACCAGCCCCCGGACCCAGGGGAAGGAGGAAGCAAGGGCTTTTTTAAAAAAAATTTTTAAATTTATTTATTATGTATACAACATTCCTTCTATGTATGCTTGCATGCCAGAGGAGGGCACCAGATCTCATTATAGATGGCTGTGAGCCACAATGTGGTTGCTGGGAATTGAACTCAGGACCTTTGGAATGTATAAATTATATATATTTTTACATTATATATTTTATATTACATTATATATTTTATTATATATATATATATATAATTTATTTACATCCTATGTAAGGAGGCTCTACATGTATACCAGCATGTGAGAAGAGGGCATCAGATTCCATTATAGATGGTTGTGAGCCACCATGTGGGTGCTGGGAATTGAACTCAGGACCTCTGGAAGAGTAGCCAGTGCCCTTAAGCCCTGAGCCATTTCTCCAGCCCCGCAAGGGCTTTCCCTACCTTGCCCTCAAAGTGGATCTTCTTACTCAGGTGAATGAGTTCCTCAGTTCTCTTCATGGACTGCACGCTGGCATTGCATTCCTGCACCAGCTGGGGATGGGATGGGTGGGGAGTTATCTGGGCTCCCACGAGGAGAAGGGGAGTCCCTCAGGAGCCTCAGGAGCCTCCAGTCCCTGAGCTCACCTCCTTGAGTGCACTGAAAGCCTTGGTGGCCATGTCCTCATCTTGGGAGCCTGGTGCTGTCCGCTTCAAAATGTTCTGGTGGGAGAGAGAGAGAGAGAGACGTTCTTGGGTGCTGTGATCACTAGTAAGGCACCCATGTTCCTCACTTGCATTAAGCCACCCTACTGAAACTCACTGGGTCACACAGAAAAGAGACATGAGAGTAGAAGGAGGGGGTCACCCAGGAAGAGGAAGGAGACCAGTGGGAGGGGACACAAGGAAAGAGGGAGTTGGGTATGATGTATGTGTGTATGGAAATGTCACAATGGACCCTATTATGCGTAATTAATATATGATAATAAAAAGGAAGACAAACTCGATATAACAACGAAAACATAACCACGGGTGGCAGGCCAGCCTCTCCCTCCCCGCCCTTCCTGAAGTGAGCTACCTCTACCAGCATCTTGAGGCGGGTGACCCTCTGGAAGGGTAGGATGAGAAAGGAGGTGAGAGGCAGCCGCTGGCACACGGGAGACTCTTCTAGGCGAGCCAGGATGCCGGGAAACTTGGGGTTCTCTAGGCTGGACAGTGGGCAGGAAGGTGCTGTCACAGGTGGCTCGCCGCACATCTGCCCCACGCGGTGGGTCTCACTTATCCTAGACATAAACCTTTTCCCCAGAAGCCCTCGCCTCACAGATGGACCTGCCCCACCCGGTCCTCTGCATCTACACCTGCCCAAGCCCCCCACCGCAGAGCTCCTCCTACAGCAGGCGCTGGTAGGTGCGCTCCTGATAGGCCTGGTTGGTGACATAGGGCAGGTAGACCCGGCGGAAGGCAGGGCAGTGCTGCAGAACGACATCGCACACGCTGAAGCGCAGCACATCGGCCTCTAGACGCTGTTCCAGGTCGTAGAGAAACCTGCCAAGTGAGCCAAGGTCAAGGAGAGCGCCACTACAGACCTCTGTGCCCACTCTTAGTCAGGCGGGGTCACTCACTCACCTCTCACTGGTGCTCTTGACCTCGGGCAGTTTGGAAAATAGCCACTGCTTGTCCTGAGTCCCCAGACACTCGCTCAGCTCCACGGAGCCTAAGAAGTGGCCCACAGCCACCGACAGGCTATGGATGTAGGAGGCCTCAGAGGTGATCAGCTCAAATTTGGCCTAAGGGAAGGTGGAGGGTCTCGACTCTCCCAACAAGATGAAGCCTCTGTAGACACCACTTCCCTGCCCCTGGATAATCTGGCGCCAGGTGGGGCCTGGGCGCGCCCGAAGCTGCCAGCTGACAAGCTCCGCTACTTGAAGTCTTTTCCCAAGATCAAGCGCTGCCCACGGCGCTCGGCTACGCCCAGCACCTGCCCTTGACCACGCCCCCAAACAGGGAGGATACTTTCAATAGCCCCGCCCCCGTCCTACCCCGTCCTGTTCTTGCCCTAGCCCTCTCCGCGGGCTCCCCCCCCCCCCCGCCACCCCCGGGCTTCCAAGGACTCTTGCTTTCCGTGGCCTTTCCACCCACTCTCACACTCCCCACGAAATCCCCAGCACCTGACCTTGGTCCCACCCCGTCCTAGGCTCCGCCCCTCCGATCCCACTCCTGGCTTCCCAGCTGACCTCTAGGAGCCTTATCTTCCCAGGTCTTCTCCCCTCAACCCTTCGCTTTAACAGTCTCTGGGTCCAGCTGATCAACTACTTCTGGCCCCGCTCCTGTCGTCATAGGCTTCTCCCTCCGTTTTAGACTCCCCGGGCTCTTCTCCTGGCTGCACAGATGCGCCCCCCGCCCCCCGCCTTTCCACTGCAAGTTGACAGCCCTTCATCTCCCTAAGGTCCCCATCACCTGCTTCTGGCCTCGCCCCATCCGAGGCTCCACTCCTCCCACCCCTTCTCCACGTGGGCAGCCCCTAATTCCCCGTGGGTCCTCATCTCCTGCCTCTCTAGCCCCGCCCCTCACCTCCTGCAGTTTGCAGTCGCGCAGGCTCAGCGTGGCCAGGACGCCGCTGCCGCGCACGTCGGGGATGTCCTGCCACAGCGAGAAGGTGGAGCCTCGGGCAGAGCGCTGCGCGCGGAAGGAGCTGCTCGGGGAAAGGTTGGCGCGCGGTGGCCCGGGCCCCTCCTCCGCGCCCTCCGCCCCGTCCCCAGTGCCCTCCTCCTCGCGCTGCTGCCGCCACAACTCGCGAGCGCTGGCCACGTCGCTGTACTCCTGGTAGAGGACAGCTGGGCGGGGCGGGGGACGGGATCTCAGGATCTCATTTACCCATGCTAGAAACACTAATTGGGCACCAATTGCATGCCAACCCACCTCAATTTCCCAAAAGCAGGCTCCCCAGATTCCAACGCCCCGGCCCCATCTCCCCTCCTGCCCCCACCCCCGCTCACCCCCGCCTTCGCAGCAACTCTGCACCTACAGTTAAGAAGGAAGCGGGACTGGCGCCGCTCGGTGGCGCTGCTGGGATCCTGAGAGGGTTTTTCATGCGTGTCCAGCCTAGGAAAGAGTGTCAGGACCTCTTTGCATCCCTCCCCAACCCGAGCCCCAAGAGAGAGGTGGGTACCTGGGCTCCAGTAGACCACCGTGGACCTCATTTGGGTCAACAGGTGCTGGCAGCGACACACTGTCCACCCTCATCTCCGCTCTTCGGTATTCCCTCACAGGCAGTTTCCCTAGAGAAAGCAAGAGCTGGGAGTGGGCGATCTAGAGAACGACGCGAGTGGGGCCGATCACCCGATGTTAACACAGGTGGGTAGGCTGCGCCCTGCCCGCCTGGCTCTGGCTGTCCTCAGTGCCCGGGAAAATAGGAAAATAGCTGAGTACCTTCTCGGGTGATTCCAGGACCTGACCCTGACGTCAGGGCCCTGGTGGCCGTGCGACCCAGGCGCAGAGATGAGTGAAGCCTCGTCATCAGTTCGGAGGCTGAGAAGCGCCTTCGCTCCTGAGCCTCAAGGCCCCCTCTGGTGTTTCTGGAAAGCTCCTGTGGCCTGGGCTCTTCCGCACACAGAGCCTGCTCGTGTGCAGCCTGGCCAGTCTCCAGAAGACCCATGGGGGTCTCAGTGCCACCAGTGGCCTCTTCATTATGATATACTTGGATCTTGCGCCCTAGGGGTGGGGTAAAATAACAGCGGTCCTCCACTGTAGTCTGTCCTGTCTTCCTCCTTGTGGTGGTGGCATGACCCTGAGCATCAAAATGAGATGCCCCAGGGCAACGGGATATCAGAGGTCCTGACTCCCGGGAGCAAGGGAACTGGAATAGCGGCTGCCAAACTGGTTATGTAATGTTGGCAAGTCATTTGGACCCTATGAGCCATCTTTCCCTTGTCGGTAAAACTTGTCCTGTCTTTTGGGACATTCTGAAGTTTTAAAGAGTTCAAAAAGAGCCTCCCAGTCCCTCCCCTAGCTGCCCCCAAAGACCCACCCCCCACCAGGGTGACTCACAGGTTGACTTCTTCTCTGAGCCACCATGGCTGGCCCTGCGCTGGGGCTGCATGTGTTGAGAGCTCCAGGGTCCCACTAGAGTTGGGGGCTGGGCACCAGGACAGTGGGGCCAGCTGCCAGCCCTGCTGGGTCTCATTCCTCCACTGGTGGAGATATGGGTATCTGGGCTTCCTGGGGAAGGTGGCCATAACAGTCCTTGGAGAGGGGCAGGGGTCGCCAGGGACCAACGACTACCAGGAGCTTGTAGCTCCTCGGGCACAATGGGGAAAAGATCCACACACACTGGGCTTGGAGGCTGCAGAGAGGGCAGTTCAGCAAAAGACAGGCTTTCCTGCTGGCACACGGCGACTGGGCGGCGGGCAGTGCCAGGTGGTCCAGCCAGGTGAGGCTGGAGGGTTGCAGGCGGCCCACAGTCCATTCCTCCTTTGCTCTGCCACCCTCCTAGGCCTGGAGGGGAGAAGGGATGAGATCTAGATATAGTACAACAGGCAGTGCTGATGAGCCATCATGTCCTGGGGGCCCGAGCAAACCCTCCTGCACATGTGTACACATGTGTACACAAACACACTCACAGACCTTTTTAGTAATCGTCAGTGTTAGCCAGTACTTATTAAATGAGCAACACCCATGTAGCACCTCAGTTAATCTCCACCAGCCTTCAGCACCGATGCCGTTACCCCCATTTGATAGAAGAGGAGAGTGAGGCACAATGGTTATCTACCACCTAGTAGAGCCAGGATTCCCACACAGGCATCACGACTTCCACATCTGCGTTTTCAGTCACCTTGTACAATTTCTAATACACATTGACATGTGACCAGACATATAGATAGCATACGTTGTCACACAAATTCATGTTCCAGCACACAGCCACACATTCTCTTCCAGCACACATACTTTCATAGATAACTTGAGACATCTCAAATGCGGATAGACGCATACTTTTTTTTTGTTTTGATTTGTTACACAGGCTTAGAAACTTTCAGTGACACACACACACACACACACACACACACACACCCATTGCCTTACACACACACACCCATTGCCTTACACACACACAAGCTTCCTCACACAGCTCCAGGCAGACACACACACACCAGGATGCAGATACATACGGGCCCAATGTCCTTGTTCTGAAGTTATCCACCCCCTTCCATACCCAGACTTGAGGCCTTCATGCTGAGTGATGCCTACACCCTTGCCAGGCTGGCTGGGAGGGTCACAGACTGGCAGGCAGGCCACCACCCAGATTAGTCCCTCCCAGGGAAGAGTAAGGAGATGCCCAATCCCCAGTTTGGGATGACAGAGGGGCTTATCCCTGTCCCAGCTCCCAGACACTAGATCAAACCAGGCAGAATGGGCCGTTTCTGGGCAGGATGCCAACCCCAGGCAGTCTGCCAGTACCCCAGGACAGAACGGTGAGCCCAGAGGTTCAAGCCCCTTCAGCCTCTGCCCCAGGGCCCTCTGCGGCCTCCCTCTCGCCCCTCACCTCTTCAGCAGAGACCGAAGCCTGCTGCTGATGCTGCCTGCCTGCTCCGGCAGGGGAAGCCCTCTCTCTGCCCAGCTGGCTGGGGGAGATCCCACCCAGACAAAGGGTTTGATTCATCAAACCCTGTGGTGAGGCGAGGAGAGGGAGGGAGTAGGCAGCGGGCTGGGGCTGGGCGGGGGCCTACACTTGCCTGGCTGCGTTGTGGGCAGTCTGGGCAGCAAGGACCCTTGCAGAGGCCCCTTGGGCCAAAGGAGCAGTGCCCAGTCTGACAGAAACGAGAGGGAGACCCAGAGAAATAGCGGCCTTGGAGACAACGGCTCGGGAAGCGACTCTGAGAGACTGAAGAAGAGAAACCACAGAGACTGAGCCGCTTGAGGCCCAGAGCCTGAGACACTAGGAGACACTGAGGATTTCCGATGTGACCAGATGCTCAGGCCGATGGAAAATCCAAGCAAAATCCAAACAAACAAAAAACAGGAAGACAAATGAACAAATAATAGCTCGTGCCCAGTGGGGTTGCCAGTCTGGTGGGAGAGCCAAAAAACAAAAGCGGCTATAATCCAGAGTTGGCAAGAAACAAGCCACAGGCACTAACACAGTAGGGGGCTGGGCCCGGCCCAATCTATCAGGAGGCTTCCTGGAGTAGGTCCCAGCTCAAGGTTACAAGGCTAAAACCCTCAAGGACCCAGTACAAAGATGGGGCAGTAATCTCCAGCCTGAACCAGAGACAGCCTCTGGGTAGGCCTAGTAGAGGTCGGTTGAGTCTCCTGCATTGCATCCCACCTGCTTCTCCCAGTACCCCTGCCTTAGGAAGCCTGAGGGAAAGACCGGCTGGTCCTCAGGGCCCCTCCCCCCAAACAAAAACAACAGCCATACCTCACTCACTCCCTGATTTAGCCTTTGCCCCTCAAGACTACCGTGCTCATCTGGGTAAGCTACAGTGAACCTCGGTTTCCCCAGCCAGAAATGTAGGAGAGCTAGCACCACCTTCCTAACTGCGAATATAAGAATTAATAGCTGAGCTCAGGAGGTGCCTCGGGCACAGGACATGGTGGGAGTCTTGTCATCAATAGGCAGTCCTCCCAGTGGTGTCATTTTCTCAGTCTTTGGGGTAGGGGAATGGTTTGGGCCAGCAGCCAGTGTTAGTAACAAGTGGGAGGGGACACAGTTAGCCTCTGTTCACCATACAGGTCTCTCTTAGGTATAAGAACACACCCTGTCCTAGAAGCCCCTGGAGAACAGAAAATGAGCCCCTCTCCTGTGATTTATAAGGTAAATAACCAAAAAAAAAAAAAAAAAAACCAAAAAACAACAACAACAAAAAACCCTGGAATTTAAGGCTGGAGCAACTTCAGTTAAGACCTCAGAGGAGAAGGCTGGGGGTGCTAAGGGAATATACAGAACTTTCTGGAATATGCGATAAAAAAAAATGTAAAAAGGGTGGCAGGAAGTGTCGGAGTGGGTCAACCCCACTGTGCTCAGGCCCAGGGGCTGTGGCAATGCCCCATCAAGCAAAGACACCATTCGAGTAGCTTTTCAGGCCATCCAGCCTTAATGTTGGTGCTTTGGGTCCAAGCTGGATTTAAGACTGCGTAGCTCTTTTCCATTAAAATAAAAAGTCAGGGAGGACTGACTTCAAGTGACTGGCTCTAGATGTGACCCCAAGACTGGCAAGGGCTCACAAGGCAAGGGTCACTCTGGAAACCAGATTCAAGGTCCTGTGTTGACACTGACCAGCCCTGTGAGGCTCTAGGCAGATTATAAGCCCTTCCTTGGGCCTTGGTATTCTTGTGTGTCAAGTGACCCTGAGGTTCCCCAGAAGTCTCCTCTATGAAACCTGTGTCATAAGTGTCTCTGCAGACTGAGAAGGATTGGCAGAGGCCAGGGAGTGGTCTGTGCAGAGGCACTACTAGTTAGAGAGGGCAACAGGTCTGTCTAACAAGGTGTCAGAGCATCCCAAAGCATTGCCGTTGTCCAGGACAACACCTCTGGCCCATCGGCACCCAGCCTTTCCTTCCCTTCTTAGTACCCCTTAGCTCCCTGCTCAGAGAACAGACCTGCCAGACTCCCTTGCTCCTTAAGGGACAAAATCTAGATGGCGGTCTTGTCTGGAAAGGGGGTTCCAAGTCAAGCAGAGCCCTAGGAGGCCAAGAACGGGTTGAAGCCAGGAGCAGCGGGCAGGCGGCACAGCACAAAGGACTCCCTCGGGACACAGCAAGAGGAGGTTGGGCGGCTGACCCAGGGCCCTACCTCAGCCAGGGAGCTCCTCCGTCCAGCGGCTGGTACAGTCCAGGGCTCCAGGCCACCCTGGGGGCAGTGGGGTTGTAGCCAAGTCCTCAAAGGACCATGCCAGCATGGCTCCAATGCTGGACAATGCAAGCTCCTGGGTATTGTGTGGGGCAGGGAGGGGGGAGGCGAGGGTGAGGGAGCCTCGCAGAGGCAGGCGGCTGTCTCGACGTGCCTGCTCCCCGCCCCCCTTCCCCAGAACCGGTTTGGCCAGTCGGGTACAAGAGGGGGCTGGAACAATGGGAGTCCTATGCCTCCCAGAGGCTCCGAGGGACCCCAGACAGCTGCCTAAAGATGGGGTTAGCAGGGTTCTGCTCCTAAGAGGTGGGACACCCCTCTTTGGAGCTTTCCAAGTACTGGGGACAGGCGGGGATTTTGTGGGAGTGAAGGACATCCTGGAAGGGTTGCAAAGGAACCTCCAAACATGGAATCCCCCTCAGGGATTCTGAGACCTCCTCTGCCCCTCTCTGAACCTGTCCCACCTCTGTAAATTGGGGACACACAACTGTCTCCCAAGCCTGGGAGACAGAAGGCAATCTTGAAAGTTAGTTATCTTCTGGAGGGCCCTTCCTATCTTCTGAAGGGCCCCTCCAGCATGGCCACTCCTCACCACTGACCCCTGCCTGCTGGAATGACCAGCCTCTAGGTCTCTAGCAGCTGTCTCTCCAGTGGAATCTTCCCAGAGTCCAGATGCCTACCCAGAGAGAGTTCTCAGTAAGGCCAAGGAAACAGCCAAAGCCAAGGCAGCCTCCATAAGAGGTGCGGAGGGGTGGGGGTGAAGGGGGGGTCCATGCTCTGTGCCAGGTACACAACTTTGCCAAGTCTGTGGAAAACGTAGAGCCGCTTCCTATCTCCCAGTGTACCGACCATTTGTGTGCGCACCTTGAAATTGCCAATCGGGTGCTATTCAT